CCCCCCCCCCACCTCCGCCACCGAAGAGGCGAAAAGCCTCTAACAAAGAGGAGGACCGGGATTTGTGCAGTAGCAGCTCTAGCAACGTAATTCAGGGTATTTCGGCTCTAGTTGTCATGGTAATGATGCTCTCGGCGGCGGCGGCGGCAGCGGCAGGGAGTTGCAGCTCTGGTGATGAACGGCAGTAATTTTCCTGCCTTTTAACTAGGATTAAAACTAAGGGCTCCAATGGGTCCAAGTTAATACACTTAATGGTGACTCCGAGCTGGTTGACTGGAGAAGAAGCTTGGGAGGGAAGGGGCCTGGGCAAAGGAAGCTGGAGTTTGCAAAGGCGCTCGGAGGATCTCAGGAAAGAGGGCATAATTGTAAGAATGTGACTTATTGTATTGAAATGAGCCTGGGGCTCTACTAGACACGTTTGCCCGGCGTCACCGACTTGCCCGTTTATACTTTTCCCTTCAGGAGTAATCGGGTGTAATTGCAGACTCCCGAGCCCCAACACGCGTGGGGACGATGTCCCTCTCCTCCTGGCTTGGCTCGTGTGGGAAAGGCATGTTATACTCTTAAATGACAGAACTCGCGCTTTTAGAGAAGTTACTTGGAGTGTTACACTCTTAATAAAAACGAAAGTTCTCGGTGGTGAGAGCAGAACAGTGGTGCCAGCGCAGCCTGTAGAGATTGACTTTCAAAGGCACTTCTCGAACCTGTTGGAAGCTTGGGGCAGTCGTGAGGGAGAAAGCGTTTGTCCCTTGATTCCAAAGAACATTCTTGAAGATTGCCTTTTATTTATGCCTCCGGATACTCCAGAGGAAAGGGCAACACGGAGTTTGGTAATCAGAAATCTTGGGCTGTTATCCCAGAGCTTTTGGGGTGCCTGGAAAGAGGTACGGGGCGCCTGTTCAGTCATTTCATCACTAATTCATTCCTGAATCTTTTTTTCCCACGATGAAGAAATGTTTTATGGAACTAAGTTAAGGAAAGCAAAAGCTGCCCAACGCCGCACAATGAATGAAGTTAGAGTTTATTTGAGTTAATCTTAGCTGAACAAGATGCTCTAATGTGAATATCAAAGACTCCTTAGGCCACAACAGTCTCCAAACCTCTCCCTCTCCCCGCACCCACCCACCACCTTCCCTGGGACCGTGCGCTCTCAGGAATTCTCCCCGCGGTTTGTCTCCTCTCCCTCGGTCTTTCTGAGAATCTGTCTTTCCCTTTCTGTTGGTCTCTCCTCGCTCCTTCTGCCCCCGCCCAACCTCCGCCCCCGCTCCCCAGGGTTGGAAACTCCGCGGAGGAGCCCAGGTCACAATGGTGCGTTTCACGGTTTCTTCCACGCGCTTCACCACCGGGAGGGGAACACGGGGGTGTTCCTTTCGTCTGCCCACGAGAAAGAAAGGGGTTTTGACAGAGGTAGTTATTTCTTCCTAATTTACAACGCCAAGGCTCGGTGCTCCTGGCCCCAGCGGCCGCGAGCGGGAGCAGCGGAACGTGTTTCCAGGCGCGGAGGCTTTGCCTAGGTAACCGGCCAGTTTTGGGGGTGGGGGGGGCGGAGATAGCCGAGGGGCGCTCGGCTCAGCTGTAGGAAACGTGTGGCACTCTCTGACAAACGCTGGTGCTCGAGGGGAGCCCCTTCCTTGAAAAGACGCGACCCTCGCCCACCGGAGTCAGAAGCGGATCCTCGGAGGAAAAGGCTCTGCTTGAAAGGCCCGGGAGAAGGGTGGGTATGCGGGCACCTTCTGGAGGAGGTGGGAGATTGCTGGAGACCCCCATTGAAGATTCAGGGGCGGGGGTTGGGTGGTAAGGGAAGTGCCTGCTTCGGCGTGGGAAGATCCGTCGGTACCTGGGCTAGAGCTCGCGCAAGCGTTCGCTAGGATCAGCTGGGACTGGGACTGGGACTAGGGGTGGCAAGGGAATCCCCCATTTCCTGGCCGTTGAGGGCCTCCTGGACCTGAAGGCTCCAAGTCCCTCTCTCTTCCTTCAAGGAAGCCTAGGACGCAGGGTCTGCGGGAAACCGAACTTACACGACCCTCGCGGCTCGCGCACCCCCGAGGATTTTGGGGTTTTATTTATTTCGGCTCCACGTTCCCACCCTTGGAGCTGTGAGTGGGTCCGGGCAAAGGGGGCGCTATAGGCCGGAGTTTGGGACGCTGGGATCCTTCCTCTAGGCCTGCGGGGCTGCGCTTTCAGCTACAAAGTTTCTCTGAAGCGATAAGCCGAGACGCTCGCCCTGGAGCCGCGCTGGCACCCTCGGGAATGTGTCCCCTCCGAGCCTCCGGATGGCCCTGAGCCTCGAAGTCGCCCACCCTCGAGGATACCGCCCACTGGGTGCAGCGGGCCTTCCTCTGCCCTCCCTACCAGCCGCGATCCCCATCCGCCTTGTCTCCTTGCTTACAGAGGGGACCTATTTCCACTGTGCCCTTTTGTTTGCTTGACCCTTGGACCCCGAAACTCTCAGCGAGTAGAAGCGAAGCTCCATTAGCATTTAGAATGAAAAGCGCAGACTTTCTTAATTCCTCGGGGCATTCATGCATTCGTTCTGGACCTTGTGCATTTCCTATGCAACGTGTTAAATTTGTGTTTGAGGGATGGGGGCGGGTGGGATTGGAAAATGACTATTTTCCGCTCGTGCACACTCACGGACCTCCGAATTAGGGCGGAACTCTTTACTCAAGTGTTTTCCTTTCTTCGGTTTTCCTGACTTTGACAGCTCGGAACCAATTGTGGGAGCAGAGGGATCAATTTCTGGGCGACGTCAGGCTGCGCGTTTTTTAGCTTCCGTTGGGTGCCACAAAACGACGGTGAGCGCGGTGGGTGCGGACATTTACTCGACCTCCCCCAAGGTGCTGTGATGGTTCTCGCCCCCGGACTCTGGTCATCTTAAGCAATGCTTTCTTTCCCTTATTTTTTTGTAATTAACGTAGCATTTCTAGAGGCCCCCAGCAACTCCGAAAACGCCCAGCCCAGGCCGCGGTGACCCAGCCCAGTTTTACTCTGAATCTCTGTCCTCTTTCCTCGTACCCACAGAGCTCACTGCGGAAGAGTGCAGCCCGGCAAGCCCCTGCCCTAAGACTGGACCCTCCGCGGAGCCGGGCAGCACCACCGCCGCTTCGACTAACCAGACGTCTCTGCCTCCTCCACTCTCAGCCTCTGCTGGAGAGACTCACAGCCCCACCATTCAGCGCGCAAGATATCCTCCAGGTAGGTCTGAAGGTACTACGCCTTATTCCTCCCCAGCTGGGAGAGGTAGGCGGGGAGCCACACAACCAGCAGGCAAACTGGTGGACTTGCCCAGCGCCAGGGCAGTGGACTGCTGGGCGAGCATTTCACAGCACAGGTGGCTTCCTTGCACGAAGCTCTTTAGGATACCACACCCTGTTGCTACCGAGTGGAGCAGCCAGATTAAATTAAGCGTTGCGGTTTCTCAAAAATATTCTTCTTAAGAAAAATGCATGGGTTAGGATCTTTTAATACATTTTAATGTCTTCATTTTTGCTCTTTTACATCCAGTTTATGCATTTAAGAGTTATGAGATCACTTAGAGCAATGCAGAGCATTTTTGTTTGTATAAAACCCAAATCATTTGGGTACAAAAGTGTGTATTATTGAAGCTCAAAGGAAAGAGAAAAGGCATTTGACCTAAAAATCAAGAAGTGAATTTGAGTCAGTAAAAGAAAGGATTGCAGGCTTGCCTTGTAACACCTCTTTATACATTTGTTAAAGGAATATCAAGTGCCAGGCCTGCGAAGGCACCAAAGATATGCAGATAAATAGAACTCAGTCCCCGCAAGCTCACCAGCTAGCTGAAAACCTCAGGAAGACATAAGAGCAATAGGTAGGGACTGGCAAGGAAGAATGACAGAAAAGACTAATGAAGAAATCCTAGCGGTCTGAAGGGAGGAAAAAAGATATAACATCAAACAATTTCTTTTTTTTTTTTTAAATGATTAGCCTTTCATTTCACTCCAACAAATGGACAGCAGGATAAGTAATCCTTTAACTTCAAATTAGTGAGTGTCTTTAAGGCCCTGCTTGGAAAATAAAGGCTTGAACTGGCCTCTCCTCATCACTGCTTCTTCCAACAGGCCCTCATCAACTTTTTACAAGTCAAGATTTCATCCTATATACGCATGACTCAATCAGATTTGGAAATGTGGGTAAGAGAAAGATGTCAAAGGAAATGTGAAATACTCACTTTTCTATTAGTCACACCTTTTACACTATAGACTCCAAATATAGATGATAAGCACCTGGTTTTCCTTTGGTTCAGAAAAACCAACCACCAGAAATTGCCCATTTTACCATTTCTATTTAGCCATAAAGAAAGGGAAATAATTAGATAAATCATCAACTAGATCCAATAATTTTCAGGGCCTCTCATCCAGCTCAACCTCTCTGAACAATAATAGTAAGCGCTCTGGATATCAGTTGCTTTAGGGGCTCAATGTAGTCAAACTGGCAGAGAAACTAAACCTATTAAGAAACTGCTTTCTTTTCTAGGGGTACTTATTCTGCTGAAATAAAATATGTAAACAAACTCACCTATTATGATAGCTGTAAACTATTATCATAAAATAGGCACTGGTGCATTTTATTAGTCAGAATTGGGGAGAAAAAAATATATACATATATATATATGTATATGTATACCATATATGGCAGAGAGCATGTTTGGTGGGAGTTTTGTTGCAGCTGCTGATCTTTTTCTTTGCAGATGGTGCAAACTCCCCCGAGTCCATTTCCTGGGCCTGTGTTCCCACCTCACCACCTAGTTGGCTGAAGTCATCAACAGGGGTCCAGTTTGTGCAGGCTGATAGCCCTGTCTGGAGGAGTGGGGAGGGAGTGGGAGAAAGCAACCACAATGTATGTGGGTAGCCTTGGTCGGCACCTATAAAATGTTAGAATGTCACTGTTTCCCTTGGTCAGTAAGTCCCATGTAGGACCATTTTTTTTTTTTTTTTTAACTAACTCAGGTTTATAAATAAATGCGTGTGACTTGGGGGTGGGGGAGTACCAGTAGACTCTTCCCCAAAAAATAAACCAACAGGGCATTCATTGGCTTTCTTTTTGTCCTCCCAACTTAGTGGCCAAGCTCACTCCAATTAATTTATAGTGCTCAAAACCACTTTTAAAATCTCTATAAGAGAAGACCAGATTTCTCAGATCTGGTGGATGATAGGGCAAGGGAGGAAAGATGGGCACAGAGGTCCCCAAGGAGGCCCAGTTTTGGCATCCTGCGGCCCCTATGACAGTCTGTCAGGGAAGAAAGTTAGGAGAGAAGAAAACATGGGGCTTTAAATCTGTTACCAGAAGGAGGAAAGGATGTCATTTCCTCTCTATTTCTCAGATTACAGAGCAAAGAAGCCAGTGCTACCTATTAGCTAGAAAAGAGTGGTGACATGCTTCTGAGACCCTTTTCCCTGTCCCTGCAGATATGCCCTGTGTGCAAGCCCAGTATAGCCCTTCGCCTCCAGGTTCCAGTTATGCAGCGCAGACTTACGGCTCAGAATACACCGCGGAGATCATGAACCCCGACTACGCCAAGCTAACCATGGACCTTGGTACCACCGAGATCACAGCCACAGCCACCACATCCCTGCCCAGCTTCAGTACCTTCATGGAGGGCTACTCCAGCAACTATGAACTCAAGCCCTCCTGCCTGTACCAAATGCAGCCCTCCGGACCACGACCCTTGATCAAGGTGGAGGAGGGCCGCGCGCACGGATACCACCATCATCCCCACCATCACTCACACCACCACTCCCACCACCACCACCATCACCAGCAACAGCAGCAGCAGCCATCCATTCCGCCCCCCTCCGGCCCGGAGGACGAGGTGCTACCCAGCACCTCCATGTACTTCAAGCAGTCTCCGCCGTCCACCCCCACCACGCCGGGGTTCCCCCCTCAGGCAGGGGCGCTGTGGGATGACTCACTGTCCTCGGCGTCGGGCTGCATCGCGCCAGGCCCGCTGCTCGACCCGCCGATGAAGGCGGTGCCCAGTGTGCCCGGCGCGCGCTTCCCGCTCTTTCACTTCAAGCCCCCGCCGCCAGACCCGCCAGCACCCAACACGGCCGGCAGCCACCACCTCAGCTACGACCCGACGGCCGCCTCCGCGCTCAGCCTGCCACTGAGAGCTGCCTCCGCGGGCAGCCAGACCACCGCGCTCGAGGGCCATCCGTACGGGCTGCCGCTGGCCAAGAGGGCGGCGGTGCTGGCCTTCCCACCGCTCGGCCTCACAGCCTCCCCCTCCGCGTCCAGCCTGCTGGGCGAGAACCGCAGCCTGCCGTCTCCGCCTAACAGGAGCTCGTCGTCTGGCGAGGGCACGTGCGCCGTGTGCGGAGACAACGCCGCCTGCCAGCACTACGGCGTGCGCACCTGCGAGGGCTGCAAGGGCTTCTTCAAGGTAAGCACACGCCGCCTCCTGGCGTCCCCTCCCTCCGCAGCCAGCCTCTTCAGCCACCCGCTGAAGTGAGCGTCTAAGTGGGTCCTTCCTGGTTTGAGAGGTATAATTTTCTCAGGGTGGATTAACTTGAAGTCCATTGCAGGAGGCAGCCCCAGATGGACTTGAGGGGGCTGTGAACTTCCTGATTTGGCATTATTTTACTATCATTTTTCTGGAGGGAGCTTTCAGCAGATTCTCAGAGATCTGTGACCTCAAAAGTGCATTCCTCGTCTGTCTATCCTGAGGGGATAGGGTCCGTGAGCCCGGCGCTGGACATTTGTATCTCATTTAATCCTCATAGTAAGAACTGGGACTCTAGAATCAGACCTGAGATTGAACTCTGGCCACTCTGTAGTTATTTTTATTGAGTGTCTTGAAAGTAGGTCTTAATTATCCTTATTCCATAGATGAGGAATTGGAAACTTGGAGAGGTTATTCAGCTGCACAGGACACACTGCTCATGTTTGCATGACCCCAAAGTACACACCATCCTCACAGTTCTGCAGTTGCAGAATAGACAGGGGCAACTGGCTTGATGAATTTAGGGCAGCCGCTTCCATAGAAGATAGAATCTGGAGTCTCACCAATCCACTCTACCTCTATGCCACACACCAGGTGTGCAAGTTGTTCATTATCTCAAAGACTCAGGAGAATTTTACAGCGGAAGGGTCTTTAGACTCTCCCATATTTTACCTGTGTGGAGGCTGAAGCTTAGAGAGGGTAAGACCTTGTATAGCCTGTGAACAGTGATTTGTCAGCACGTGGGACAGTTGGAGCTGGTTTCTCCTGACTCTTGAGTTGAGTGTTCTTGACACCACTCAGAGGGAAGAGGCCTTGTTTTCTTCCTGTACTGTTTTTGCTATTGACTCCCAGATGTCTTTAGACACTTAATTCTGTGCCACCCTCCCCAGTCCCCACTCCCTGACCATTATCTCAGGCATTTGCAAACCCACAAATATTCTCCCATAATCATCACTCCCTAGCCTCCAGTGCTGGGCAAAGTGGAGAGAGAGGGGAAGCTGGATGCTGATTGGGTAACTAGGATTTGGGAGGCCAATAGGCTGTATCTGGGAGCAGGCTGGAATTGGAATCAGAACACTAAAATAGGAGTCCTTGATCTGTCACCTATCAATTGTATGACATTAGGTATGACACTTCTTTCTAGGCCTCAGTTTCCCTATCAGGTGAATAAAATTCAGAGAAAGACTATGAGTATTAAGTGAAATAAAACATTTATAAAAGCACTTTATAATCTTTAAAGGGCCATAAAACAACTGTTCATTATAAGTGAAAACTACAAAGTATTTGTAAAAAAATGCACATTTGTGGATTGGTACACACCAACAAGCAACAAGTTATTTTTGATCTGGGGATAGGAATCATGTGATTAATTAAATTCTGCAGAAAAATGAGAAAATTATTGTGGAAAGACTTTGCAATATGTTATGTGCCATACAGAAGATATGTAGGATTATGATGTTTTAAATGTAGAATCCTCCGGTTAGCCATTTTCTTTTGTATTAACTACTCAAGCTTTACCAGGGTTACTGTCAAGGAACTGCATTCCTTTCACAGATTTGATTTTTATATGATTTCACTGGAAATGCTGAAGGGCAGTGAAAAGGACAGCCAAAAAGGAAAGAGAAAATGAAGAAAAACAATTAAGAGAAGTACAAGTAACTTCAAATATAATCATCCCTGAATAATTGAGAGTTGACCAAAATACCGGAGTGGTAATGCATTCCTAGTCTAGAAATGTCAATTAAGTGTTCCCCAACAGCGTTCCTTTTCTACAGCAATTCCTTGAAAACAAATCTATACTTGAAAGGGTGGGAGGGTAGATGGGGAAGAACCACCCCACAGATCTGTTAATTAAGGGAACGGGAGCAGGTTTTACCCAGTGGCTTTCTACCATTAAATTGAATTCTTTAAAAATGTGACATGAAATGCAGTTAATGATGGAATTCAGTGATTGAACTGTAACGATCTCTCCCTGTCTTCCCAGTTGTGCAGGCACACACAACTGTGGGAAAGGTTTCAGGTTATTGGGAAAATGTATATCTGAAGCAAAATGCCACCAGCGCTCAAATTGGCATATGGCCTTGAGGATGATGGCAAGAAATGGAGTTTTAGAAATTACTGCATATTCGATGAAAGAGAGCTTCATCCAGGAAATTCAAGTTTCCTACCCTTACAGACTACTGAGAAAATACATGGTGGAAACTCAAATGCATGTTTGTGTTTTGGAATTTTGCATTTTAAACTAAAATCACCTACTAAAGCAGGAAAAATGTATCTGGCTTTGTTAGATTTTTAAAGCTTTATATAAGCAGTTTAGAAATGATCTCCTAAAATGAAATTAAAGGTGATAGGGTGAAAACTGATAAATAGGGGCTGAGGATTGCAGAAAGTAAAGATTGAAAATAAATCTCAAATTTTGGGCACAAAATAGATCACCAACCCCAAATTACCTGGATTTCTTTTTTTTTTAGGCTTACCAAATAAATTCCAACTTTCTGCTCTATTTGGAGTTGTATAGATTCAGGTAATTTCTGAATGATTTCACCCTAAGTGGTAAATATACATCCATTTGCACAAAAGTTTTCAGTTATTAAAAAATCAAGCCTCCCTTATATTTGGACCATAAAATTATGCTTAATTATTTTCATGTGTCATTTTAAAATTATATGTGATTCTGAAGAATGCATCATTATTTTATATCCAAATCCAAGTTATGATGTAGCTTTTACAATAGGGCTATTTTGATGTCTATGTTGATAGTCATTTATGAAATAACTTGTTAATGGGAATTTTCATTGAAAATATATGGCTTTCATATTCTTTTCTTTCTCTCATTCTTTTTTGTTTTTGGTTTTGGTTTTTCTTTTTTCTCTTTTTTGGGTGTGATAGTGGTTTTTAGTACCAATTTTAAGATTTTGCTTTTAAAAATCAAAACTGGCTGGTTTATCATACGTATTCTTTTAAAGATAAAATAAACTACACAGATTGATTAAATGATTGTTTTGTATTAAAACATTATTTCCTATATCTTTGAACTAGACAAATCCTGATTTTTGCTTTTTGTGATTTCATCTCTATTGGGGAACAAAGCCAGTTACTGTGATGTTTGACTTCCAAAAGTGATAGCCAACAAAGTACATCCAAGATAATTTTGATTTTATTTTAATAAGGTCAGCAATAATCAGGGGAGTGGAACAAGTAGAAAATTGTTCCCAAAGGGATATTAAAAGTGGAGATAATCTAATCCTCCAAGGTATGATATGTTGACCTGGTAATTTCAGATATGATTTTATCATTCAGACTTGGACGTCTCCTGAGACTTGCTTCAGAATAATCTGAGATGATTTTCATTGTCAGCAGCTAACACTAATAAAATTGTTTTTCCTGCAGGCTAGCGTGTTAGGAAATTAAATTTATCTAATTATACGAATTGCACTGTCGCTTTTCACATTGTAATTAAAATACATCTTGTCAGGTCCTACCTCTTTCCAGAAACTATTAGTTGACTATCTCTGTATTGTATTTTCTCAGAGAACGGTGCAGAAAAATGCAAAATATGTTTGCCTGGCAAATAAAAACTGCCCCGTAGACAAGAGACGTCGAAACCGATGTCAGTACTGTCGATTTCAGAAGTGTCTGAGTGTTGGAATGGTTAAAGAAGGTATGGATATAATGCTTTTTATCCAGTTTGCTTGTACATATTCTTAGATATCACTGAAAAAAATGTTACTATTCATGTTAGGATGGTGAATTTTTCTAGTTTCTCTTTCCTTCCAACATTTTATTTTTATGGTGTATATTTACATTTCAAAATAGCTGAGGACTACTTATTCTAATTTCTTAAAATCAATAGAGAGCTTGTGTACATACATTTTTGTTCTATTTAAGAAGGAGACTTTTAGGGCTAATTCATTACCAAATGTAAGTATGGGGTGACTTTTATGCTGCTTGTTTCAACTTTCATTAAATCATTGTGTGACTATTATTCCAAACTTATTGCCACTTTTAAATGGTTGGTCTCATTAATGGTTGCTCAGCTGTAAAATGTTTTGATTTCTTTTCATGATTTATGGCTGTTCATGAAAATCTTTGAAGACATTTTTTCTCTCTCTCTGGGCATCAGTTGTCCGTACAGATAGTCTGAAGGGAAGGAGAGGTCGGCTGCCTTCCAAACCAAAGAGCCCATTACAGCAGGAACCTTCTCAGCCCTCTCCACCTTCTCCTCCGATCTGTATGATGAATGCCCTTGTCCGAGCTTTAACAGACTCAACGCCCAGAGATCTCGATTATTCCAGAGTAAGTTTTATGTTCTGCTTTCAAATGAATGATCAGGGTCTCTACTCATGTTACTATTAACAAGTGCCACTGTGCTGAACAGTTTTCCTACCTTTTCTATATTTCTCACTTCATTCAGCAATTTCAGTGCATCCATTGCACCAAATAATTTTTGCCTTATTGAATCTCTAAATGCCTTAACAAATGACCCTGACAGTGCTGCACCTGTCATACCCATTGTTGCAGGATTCCTGGTGGTCATGCCAATGAAAATCTGCACAGGTGAATAACGATTTGTAGATTTCTTTCTTGGTTTAGACAAAGTGACTACTGGTTTTTTTCATTTTGTGATCAAACTATGTGGGTGAGCTTTAAGTTATCCTTAAGCAGTTTACCCAATCGCATTGGCATTGATTGACCTGCTGCTTATTCAGAGGGATTAGACCATTGATATAGAGGAGTGAGATCTGACCTTGACATCAAGAGGTGTCAGGAGGGCTGGGATGGAGCGCTGCCTCTGCTGCCCCCTGTGTGTGTCACTTGGCCCCCATTCTTGGCTTTCTTATCCCTATGGTGGAGATGATTACAATATTTAACCTTAGAGGGATGTTTTGAACATCAGTCACACAGGAATGGTGGTTGAGAAAACATTTGAAAACCATAAATGATTACCAGTGTTGTTATTTAAGTCAACCAAAATATATCAACATTTTTATTTCATATGGGATATAGTAAAATATCATCAGTTTGAATTCTGCAAATTGCCAGAAATTTGGATAACACGGGGAAGAACCATGAGAAAAGATTTTCTGAGCAAATGTATAAACATTACTTTAAGTCAGTTTTTAAAAAGACTTAGAAAAGCAAGCTTCTAGTGAGACAGGGTCTCGCCAAAGAGGGAAAGGAAAAAAGAAGATTACAATTATTGGGCAATTTCTACATGCTAGACATTGTAGTATGTTGTCTCATTTAAGGAACCATGAAGTGTAGGGATAGTTAACCCCCATTCTAAGACAAAAAAAAAAAAAAATACTTAGAAACACAGTTTGCTTCCAAATCAGAGAGATACCAGTCTAGAGATCCCCAGTTGGTTGATCTGGCATGACACCTACAACCAGATTGCCCTCCCTAGGCCTAATTAGTATTTTAAACTTCTTGTAGAACGGCTGGCAAAGAGTATGAGTGTGTCTGTTATGTGTCCTCCTTTTAGGTTGCAATGTTGACAGAAATGAAGGGGTGATTGGTACACCTGCTATGATTCTCCTTCCCTCCTCTCTACCCTCATTATAGTCTGTGAAGCCTCCTCTCTGCATCTGATCACAAGACTTCATAAAAGAAGCATGGCAGATCCTTAACACCAAAGGTTGAGGACTCTTATTCTGATTACAAGTAGCTTCTCTTGACTAAAGTCAAGTCTCAAATAATAGTGTAACAGAATAATGCAGTGGTTAAGAGCTTTGGAACCATGCAGACCCTAGATTAAAATCTGAACGCCATTATTTAGTAATTAGGTGATCTTGAGCAACTGGTTAAACCTTTTAATGCCTCAATTTCCTCACCTGTGTTGTATTATAATAATAATAATAATAATAATAATAATAATATCATCTACTTCCTGGGGTTTGTGAAGATTAAATAAGATGATACTTGTCAAAACTTTAGCACAGTGCCCTCCCTATATGTTATCTCCTTGATCAAACCTTCTTCTACCATTTGTTGAATGTTATAATGAGTGTGAACACTTCACATGTCAGGTGTCATGTGGCAATACCATTAAGGTAAGTGTTATGATCTCTGTTTCACAGATGAAATTATAACTGAGACTGGCTAAAGGACTGACTTGCTCAAGGTCACATAGCTAATATGTATCAGAGATAAAATTAGAAGCCAAGTATATTGGACTTGGAAGTGCTCCTAAATATCAAGCTTTACTGCCTCTTTGGTGGTCAGTGAGAGTGGGTGCTGGAAAAGCACTTGGAAAGAAAGACTTCTCCTCCCTGAAGCAACTTTGGGCTCCCCTCATGCAATTTTTCTGAATTAATGAAGCTTTTCTACACTGCCCATGCTGAGGCTACAGCACACAATCTGTCATTGTTCCAGGGCATTTGAAATCAGTATTGATAGTCAATCCAGAGAATTTAGGCCCCAAAAGTGATTTTTTAGCCCCAAATTATTCAATTATTGGTCTCTATGGCCTAATCAGTTATTCAGTGGTAAACCCTCCCCAGCACTTTGAGTTGTCCCAGCTGGGAACTGTCTCCACACTGAAAAATCAATCCAGCATGTTTGTTTGCCTCTGCACATCCAGTGTGTTAAACCAGATTCATCATCCTCATCAACAAACATTTATCCAATTTAATTGTTAGCTTTGTCCAAAATAGCAGATCAACCGTACCAGAGACTGAGTCATGATGATACTACCTTTGGGGCCTGACTCAATTTTGTAAAGCATATTTATTTTAATTGCATTGTTTTGGAATCAGGTTGAACCTCATAGCTTGGATTCTCCTGCTTGAAGATAGCTTTACAAAATTATCAAAAATTGGACCAAAATCAATTAAATTAAAAGACTTTTTTAAAAACAGTGAGTTTTCGTCAAAAACTTGGATGAAGGCAGAGAAGGCATGCTGATCACATTTGCAGATGACAGAAAGCTGGGATGGATCGCTAATATGATGGATGTCAGTATCAACATTCAGAGTGATTTCGACAGGTTGGAACAGGATGAGCTGAAACCATCTCGAAGAAAGTTAACAAAAATAAATGTGAAGCTAAGGATTTAGAATTTTAAAACATGGGAAAGCCTTGGCCTGTCAGTAGTTCATGTTAAGAAGATTTGGGGAGTTTATTCCATACACACTTACTATGAACCAACAAAGTATATGTGTGGTGGAAGGGAGGGATGCTAAATTACCTTAAGCTGTAGAATTATGGGCCCAAGTTGGTGGCAGTCCCACGAACTCTGCCCTCTCAGGTGACACTTTAGGACTGAGTCCAGTTCCAAGCTGGGCCTTAAGAGGGATGTGGACATACTGTTTCTGGAAACTTGTAAGAGATGATTGGAGGAAATGAAAATATGTAGACAGGAAAGGAAAAGTCTTGGCAGGATTAGGTCACTCTTTTGCCCTGTGGCAGAGAGGACTGTTGCTCCCGAGGACAGATGTACAGGAGAAGGAGAGAGTGCTTTCCAGATCACTCTGAAGACAATGATGAACTCTCTTAGCTACAAAAGCTACTGTGGAAGTGTGAATTCATCAACACAAGTAACTAAGGAGAACACATAATAGGATTTCTTACAAACAGAGAGGTTATTTTGAATGATATTAAGTTCCTTCCAACTCTAAGATTTTATGATTCTGGGATTTACCTTATTGATCCTCAATAAGGTAAATGTAGTAATTTGTTATTTAACAAAATTAACTTGCTTTGTTCTTTAAAATATTCTAACAAAATGAATGAAGCAAAATGAGTTTATTGAGTGCCTGCTTTGGACTAGGCACCATCACATATTTTCTTACATAATTTCACTTAAGGCCCAGCTTTATGTGATATAATTTATGGTTTCAGTAATTTTTTTTAAAGAATGTCATTCACTGAAACTCAATTTTCATAATAGCTTCTCCTTAAAGTTTTATATTTATGAATTTATAGAACTGGAGGTGACCTTGAGATCATCTAATCCAACTCCCATATTTTCAGAGGAGTAAATAAAGGCTGTACAAGGGTTAAGTGGCTTGCTTAAGGTCAATGGCAGAGCTTGGGCTAGATCCAAATCTCAAAACTCAAGGTAATATGTTTCTATTTCACCATACTGCTACTTTTAATGGCAATTTACTGTGTGTGTGTGTGTGTGTGTGTGTGTGTGTGTGTGTGTGTGTGTGTGTTTTAAGAACAGAAGATTTATTAGATTTTCTAAATTACAATAATAGTACTATATACCCATTGGCTTTTAAAAAGGCAAACCATTTAGAAGTAGATAAAGTGAAAAATGAAAGCCTCCTCTTCATTTATTCCTGCCTAATCCCACTCTCCAGCAATAGCCAAAGTTAACATTTTAGTGTGTATCCATAATTAATTACATTTTAAATAAGAATTTGCCCTGTCAGATTTGAGTCAGACAGTTGATTTGACGGAAGCAATTTATAAAAGGTACTAGCTTCCCCTAGTGAATCAGGCAAATAGAGAAATGAGGAAATGTTTGCCAGGCAGGTTATGTTGTAATCTTGTACCAGCATATGTGCATTTAAGGTGGTAAGTAAGCACTTCTCCTCATTTGTGGGGAAAGGAGATGAAGGAGTTGTGTTCCAAGTCACAGAAGGAATGAACGTTTTAGGCCAGAAAGAGAGCTCCTCGCTCTGTGAAGGCTTCCTGGCTCTGGGAACTTCATATTTCCTTTAGGCCAAACTTCTCTCCTTTAAAATTGAGCTCAGATCATTGTATATCAATGCAGTCAAAACATGTCACATTTGATTTGTTTCTTCTGGAAATGTTGCTATTCTCTGCCCCACAGTTGCTTTTAATTTAGCAATACAAGTATATATAGATACTAGGCTTGGCTGCAGAGCCTGCATAATTACTAATGAGAAAATATATTTAACATCCTCATTAGTTGGTCATTTCAAGTATTTTTCAGCAAACTAGGATATTTTCTGGTAATTGGTGTCATTTAGTGTTGTAATAGACACCAAATACAAGAGATATTGCTCAGATAAAACCAGGCATCAGTAAATGACATTTATGTATGTTAACAAGATAGCCTGAGAAACAACATGGCTAACATATGTTGGACCTACAAAGTAAACAACATGAAAACTCTGTGAAGAGGGTGGTTTCATGAGGCTTCTCAGGAGATCCTCTCAAATTGCTACCAATTCATTAGATGATTTCAGTCTAGTTCCTGCCCCTCTGTGGGCCAGTTTCCTCATCTGAATGGTGAGGGGATGGGACTAAGTGCACTCCCATGATCTCTTGCAGCCTTCTCACTCCCTGACCCTCTGACTGTCACACTTGCTACAATTCCTGTATGGATACAGGTCTGCATGTCTCAAAGTGTGGTGCTCAGACTGCCTCTATCAAAAAGAAGCCTTGTGATGGCTTAAAATGCAGATTTCTGGGCCACACCCAGACCTACTGAATCAGAATTGGGGGAAGGGGTGGACGGGAAAGAGGGAAGATAAGCAGGAATCTATATTTTACTAAGTGCTTCGGATGATTCTTTGGCACACTAAGACTTGAGAACCACCAGTATAGTTTAAGAAGAACAATTCAATTTTGCCTCAAACCTCCTATTTCCCAGCTTTCCAGAAAGCAGTTAATTCATTTAACAAATGTTTATTGCCTGGCTCCTTAGCGTCAGCCACTGTTCTAGAGCAGCAGACACATTGTTGATTAAGAGAAGCTCCTGCCCTCATGGAACCTACCAGTAAACAAACATAACTACCGTGATGCCATCAGTGGGAGGAGAGGAAACTTGGGTTTTTGTTTTTGTTTTTGTTTTTGTTTTTAGGGAGAGGTAATTAGATGAGAAAAAAATAAATTTGGGGGAAAATATATTCACTGCCAGTTTTAAAGTGTCACTTTTTAAAGTGTAAGAACCTAAGAATATGTATACATAATTTGGCTTACAGAATGATCACCTTTAAAATATATAAAGAAATATAAAGACCCAGGAAAAAGTAACATTCTAAGGAGAGGTAAAATGTTCTTAGGATATTTTACATATTTAGCCTGGACTGACAGTAAGATAGAGTAAATATCAGATTCCACGCTGGTATGAAGGCCTCACATTACTAATTTTTTAGAGCTGGCATTCTCATTTAAGTAATTCACTTTAGGCTTAGGTTCTGCCTGAAATGTACAGCCATGTTCTCACCATATGAAACGTGTAGGCACATTTTGGCTTAAATAACATCCATTATTTTTTGCAACTCTAGATTCTCATTCTAGGTGCTTTGGTGAAATTACCATTAGACGTTAGTTGCCACTAAATGTAATACTGTCATTGGCTAGTGGTAAAGCCAGATTTTGGATGGATCAATTATTTATATAGGCTGGAAAAAAATTTAGCATAAAGAGGAAAAAAGATTCATTTCTAAAGTCTTTATTTGGTCTATTTTTTATTGGAATCATCAATAAACAAATATTTTTAGATTTTCTTTTTGGTGAACCCCAAACCTGCCTAGCCCTAGGCAGTGATGTAGGGAAGCACAGAGACAGAGATGGGGGTCTGGTTCTTCCAACTCCAGGTCCAGCATTGCTTGGTGAGGTTTTTATAAAGTTCCAGGCCAGGCAGAGAAAGAATCTAAAATGATTTGTTTGATTTCTTTAAATCCGTGTTCAATAGAGGAAATACTTGGTTTATCTTTTCTCTCAGCATTGGATGCTGACCCTCCAGTCACCCCCAAGTTACCGGTGGCTCAGGCTCCAGAATTCTGGAACGTGGACTAGGATCACTGCAGGTGAAGCCCAGAGGGTCTGGCTGGAGTCTGGCATGCCAAGCCTGCTGGCTTCCTTCCTTACTAGGCTCTATCAGAGAAAACTGCACACACAAGGCAGGCAGGCCTGCATTTCCCTGTGTGCAGGATGCGTGAAATGTGAGCTCGGCAGGGGCAGAGGCCTGCAGAGGACCCTGGGTGAAAGCTAAGTGCTCTGGAGGATTCTGAGCAAATATTGGAGGCAGAGAGATTATTGAGTTGTGAGCCATGGTTTCAGGGAAGTCAATGCAGTAGGGAACTGTTAGGTCCCATTGCCAGGAAAAAGTTTATATCTTTCAGTCTTTTTCTCTCCATTTAATACACTGTTTTAAAAGAAAATAACGGTGAATCAATGTCAGATTCTAGGCAGTCACATCATACCTGGTGTGATTAGCAGCATTTTGAGTCATAGACTGCAAGAGCCATCGCATGGAACATTCACCAGGATAGATGATAGTCTGGGTCATAAAACATACCTTAACGCATTTAAAAGAATAGAAATTATACAATGCCTGCTATCAAACCACAATGGAATTAAATTAAAATTAATAATAGAAAGATAGCAGAATGCAAGAACCAGAAGGATGCTTAGAGGTCAGCTATTCCAGTTACTTCCTACTTCAGAGGCAGAAACAGACCCAGAGAAGTTAGGGGACTCGTCTAGGGCTACACGGCAAGTCAGTGTGAGAGCCTGAAGGAGGACCCCATGACCTGCTGCCTCTATTCCATGTTACCACTCATTTGGGAGTTTCACATGTAGTACTGTCAGCTTAGTAAAGGTAGTTCTGCCCCGCATTTTATCCTGCCCTTGGAAAACATGTGGAATTAGATTCATATCAGGGGGGAAAGTAAAAAAATTAAATAAATCCCTTTTTTCTCCTCTCCTCCTGTCAATTGTATGTATGCTGAAAGGAGGTGGTGGAAAGTGTCTTTGACACCAGGATCAGGCTGCCATCCTTGAATACCTGTGGGAAGGAAAACTGGTTCCTTCTCCTGGACTTTGTTCCCATGGTCCTTATATCACAGAAACTTCTAGAGCTTCATAGAATCCAGGCCCTGGGTGAGATTATCCAGAGGAGCCAGGGCTCTGAACTGGACTTGATATTATAGGATCCTAGAAAGTCAGGACTGAAAAATAGAAACCTTTCAGTTCAACGTCTTCCCCAACTTTATAAATATGGAAGCTTAGGGACAATGAGAGTTCCAAGTATCATAACTGTTATTAGTATCATCACTGTCATCATTTGCAAAACATGTTCTATGTGTCAGGCCCTTCACATATAGTATCACGTTTAATCATCACAACAAAATATTGAAAAAGGTATTATCCCCTTTTTACAGAAGAGAAAACCGAGGCTCAGAAAAGTGAAGTAATTTAAAAGTGAAATAATTTACCCCAGATAACTAAAGTGAGTGGAAGAGCTATGTTATTTTACAAATTAGAGGCCTGGACAAATATAAGATTAAAGTAGCTGGGATCCTTGTCTGATATTTCTTTTGTTATTTCATGATATGGCTCTTGGGAAAGCACACACACAAAAAAAATAGACCCAATTAAGATAAATGCCTCATTTCCTCATCCATAAGTACTACAATAAGTACCTGGCTGCTTGTTGGCTGTTTTCTCCTCCAGTGGGTTAGGGCATTGTGGCAAACCTAGGTACTCCCTTAACTGTTCTTTCATTGAACAATATTCAACAACTATTTATTAAAAGTCAATTATGTGCCAGTCACTGTACTGCTAACAAAACATGGGACCAAATGAATACATACCTGGAGACCTCCAATTAGAGCAAAGCAAAATGCTTTTCAGAACTATCCCACAGGCTACCAACTAGTAACATCGGACATATTAACAGCGAAGAGGGGCAGGACTGGAAATCACAAGGCCATGTTTAAGTCTTGGCTGTACCACTGTTGATTATATAACTCAGGAAAGTCTCTTAGCCTCTCTGAGTTTCTCTGAGCCTCATTTTCCTCATTGGTAAAATTGGACTTAAAATCCATGCCCCTGGAGGATTAACACAGTGAAGGGATGCTGTTATTGTGAAGGAAATGACATGCATATTTACAGGAGTGTTTCTGCAGAACTCGTAAGCCCCTGTGTTGTTGGTTGTCCCCTGATTATTACCTCGTTATGTCAATCTTCCTGCCTGAAACAAGAAAGATTTTCTTCCTGTGATTCAAGCAGAACCCTGACTCTACCAGACTATCCAAAAGCTGAGGATAGCCTTTATTCTACTTTTATCTTTCTTCTCTTTGGACCCTCTAGATCAGTTCTGTCCATAGAGTGTTCTGCAGTGATGAAAGTATTCTACACAACATGTGGCTGTTGAGCTTGAAATATGGCTAGGGTGACTGAGGAACTGACGTTTTAATTTAATTTTCGTTAATTTAAGTAGCTCCAAGTCCTGAGTCTGATGGCACACAGCGGCCTGGGCACCTGCCGTGGAGACACTCTCTTTCCTCCCCTTCCTGCTTTGTTTTGTCTCTCAGAATTCCATCCACAAATGCAAAAATCATTCTCTTCTCCTGTTGGTTAAAATTCTGTGATTCTCAAACTTCATTGCGTGTGAGAATCTCATGGAGATCTTGACAGAAGAGTTTCTTGGGCCTACTCTCAGAGTTTCTAATTCTGTAGGTCTGGGGCCAGGCCCGAATGTTTTTCCTAGTGCATTCCCTAGAGTTGCTGATACTGCTGGTCCAGGGACCACACTTTAAGAAGCATGGGTTAAGTAAGCATGTTGTTTGGAGACAGCTTTGCTTTAGTGGAATCAGTAGATCCTGGAGGACCATTGGTTCTCAACACTGGCTGCCCTTTGAAGTCACCCAGGAAGCTTTAAAAACTCCTGATGACCAGTTAAATTAGAATTAAAGCTCCCCAAATGATTGCAGTCAAGATTGAAAACCACCACACTAATGGGACTTCAGCACATTTCTTTGTCTATTAAATAGTAACAAAATTCACTGTATTTATAACATAGGAACATTGTGAGAATCAGATGAGGCTTTGAATGTAAAAAGGTTTTGTTAACCATGGACCTAAAAGTAAGGATTTAGATGTAGATACTCTTGGAAGAGCCAATTTGCAATGTTGTCATCCCTGTTGAACTGAGATAATGCTGCTGTCTGTGATTCGCCTTCTAGTACTGTCCCACGGACCAGGCCGCTGCAGGCACAGATGCTGAGCATGTACAGCGGTTTTACAATCTTCTGACAGCCTCCATCGATGTATCCAGAAGCTGGGCAGAAAAGATCCCCGGATTCACTGATCTCCCCAAAGAAGATCAGACATTACTTATAGAATCAGCCTTTTTGGAGCTGTTTGTTCTCAGACTTTCCATCAGGTAATTACTATTACTTTATCTTCCTTCAGTCTACTCCATCCTTTTAAGAATGGAGTTTGTAAATGAGTTACCAGAGAAAAGTTTGCTCAAGAAGGAAATATAAAATATGATCAGGCATTTAAAAACCAAGCAGTGGGTAAAGGACTGTACTGGTAGTCGGGACTCCTGGGTTCTGCTCTCAGTTCTGGTATGGACTTGCTGTAAGACTCTGATCACCGCAAGTTCAGTTTCCTTCTTTGTAAAATGAGGAAGTTGGCTTTGGTGATCTCTGAAGCTCCTTATAGCTACAACGTTCTATGATTCTAGAAGGAATCTCATGGTGCATAGGTGTTTCCTGGGAGCAAGTATTTGTTTTGATCATTGCATTTATCTCACAGATTTTTATTTACAAGTCACTGTCCTGGTACACCAGTTGGGGCTCTAACGTGTTCTCACAGCTTCTCAATCCCCAGTGTTTACTCCAAGAGGATAGCTTCTGGATCAAAAGATTTGGTTCAGCTTGTCATACTCAGCGATACTAAACACAAAGCCGAAGTGATTTTTCAAAAAGCTGAAACCTGGGATCTCAGCTTGTCTTGTAAAAGCCCACGTGTAGTATTTTAAATTCCATCTTCTTTTCTTCTTTGCAATTAAGTATTTTTAGGAGATGGTACCAATATTTCACCAAATATTATAGGAAAAAGCATTTCCTTTGCCCTTATTCCCTCAGCTACCACTCCCACTATAATTTCATACTGTTACCAGAAACTCTTGTTTAAAGTGCAGATTTCCATGCCTCATTCCCAGCTATTTCAATGTGGAGCTATCTTGGTGGAAATCCAGAAATCTGCATTTTAACTCATGCTCTGGTGATTCTGATGCTGCTTCTGTGAGATCCAGGTTTTAAACTCTGAGATCGAACCATTCTGTCCTTGTTTGCCTCTGTGGAGGGATCTGTGAGAGAGACAGAGGTAGAATTACAACTAGAGTACTAGTAATTAGCATCATTACAGCTAATCCAGTGGGCAGGAGCCAAGCCAGCAATATGACTATCACCTATTAGGCAGACAGCAAAAGATTGAGTAAGTGATAAGCTCCATGCAGGCAGACACCATATGTGCCCTATTCACCAATTTTTCTCTAGTGTCTGGCTTCAGGAATGGCACATACATGGTGCTCATGAAATATTTGCCAAGTGAATGAATGAGTCAAACTATTCCTTTTAGAGGCACAGTTAAAGAGATAATAACTTGTTAATGCAGTAGGCTGAAAGAGATAACTATGTGGCTAGAGATTTGAAAACTAAAGAAAGGCTAAGATTAAAGTAAGGACCACATAGAACTTAGAATTAGTTACATCTAATACTCATCGAGAGCCTCTTGTGTACCAGGTACCACACATGGACCTTAAGTCCTTTATTTTATTTAATTTTCACAACAGTCTTAGGAGGTAGCAATTAGAATTCCTGTTTTATAGATAAAAGGAAACTCAGAGAATAAAGGAGTGCCTAAGGCCCCGCAGTTAAGTGGTAGATGTCCAACTAGAAATTCCAGGGCACCTTTCAAGAGAGAAGAATGAGATGATTATGGTCATAATATACACTATCAGGGAAGGTTTAGAAATAGCCCTCTTCAGTCCCACTGTTAAAAGTAGAGAAGGTAATACAAAAAAGGACTCTTTACATTAGGCTAATTTTTAGTTTGCGATTGACTTCTGGCACTTATAGAGACTTAGTGTTTTTAGAATCTGCACAGTGGAATTGTAGTGTCTAGCCTCAGGCCTTATCAGTATTTGACATTTAAGAAAATGAGGAAGAAATCCTGGCCAAGGAACACTGAAGGGAGCAGTCTCAGTGCAGAGAGAGGCGGTGCACTGGGTTTCACCTCTGTTGTCCATAAGTACCTGCTCCTCCAAGGCCTCTGAGCTAAGGTGAGCCAGCAGCTGAGTCTAGTAGCTTCCCCAGGGCTGCTGTTCACCAGAGAAGTTAGTGTAGATAAGTGATGGTGGTTGTTTATCCCAGGATCACAGTCTTGTTCATCAAGAGTATTTGGGCAGGTTTCACAGCACCACCCTGGGTTCTGAAGGTTGCCCCATGGCTGTCTGTGTGTTTTGATGCTATCCTGTTGGACAGACTGAACAGACCTATTTAACATGTCTCTACCCCACACCCCCCAATACATTCTCTTGTAGGTCGAACACTGCTGAAGATAAGTTTGTGTTCTGCAATGGACTTGTCCTGCACCGACTTCAGTGCCTTCGTGGATTTGGGGAGTGGCTCGACTCCATTAAAGACTTTTCCTTAAGTTTGCAGAGCCTGAACCTTGATATCCAAGCCTTAGCATGCCTGTCAGCACTGAGCATGATCACAGGTAAGCACCACCCTGCCGTCATCCAAAGTAACCTGTCCCCTTTTTTCTCCTTTCTTCTGCTAAGTGGATTCTGGCTTTGGCTGTCACACACACCAGAGAATTAGGAAAATGACAGCAGTCTGAAATCTACATTTAGCCTAGTTTAAACAAAGAGACGTACATCTGCAACTTATTGTCATGAACTTTCAGGAAAGAGGATTCCTAGCCTATTGAATTATCATTGTCAATTAATCCAATGTATGAAAATCTAAGTTTCCACAGGAGATCAGAGTTGTTTTGATGTGGGCGTTTAAAGGAACGTTACCTTCACCCACCTATTCCTGTGAGGCAGAGGAGCATGTCCTTCTTTCGCCCCTGTCCTTGGCTAGTGACCCAAAGTCAAACTACACACATATTAAACACAACTTTATTTATTTATTATATATGCTGCCAAAGCAAGCACTTTATTTATTTATCTACCTCTTTATTTAATATCTTTGATTGGCAGGGGACGAAGAAAAATGGTTATTTGTACACAGCCAAAATGGCTCAACTCAACAGTTTTTAGACGTTAAGAAACAGAAGCATAAAACATATTCAGTTTCCATATTATGCCTTTCTCTCCCTAGATGTCTCTCCCTTTCTATTTTGGGGGAGATAAAGGATCCAAAGGCAGAATGAGAGAGAGAAAGAGAAAGAAAGAGAAAGGCATATCGGGTAAGAGAGGGAATGCCATCTCCCTGTGGATGCTCTCGAGGCCCCAGGCCCCAGCTCCCTTTGTGCCTTCATACTTTTACTCTCTCGTTTGATCTCATCCTTCTTGGTCAGACTAGGGCCAGCTGAGGCAGTGACAGCAGGTGGAGGCTCCAGAAGAGGCTAGCCAGACCTGGGGCTCACCTGCCATCCTTTTTTCAGACTGAAGCGCAGCCTAGGCTCTTGGACTAAGAATCGAGGTTCAGATCTCATACCTTTTCGACTGTAGAAAGCCTGTTTTTTCGGGCAGGTGGTAAATTTCACAGAGGACCAAGTACATCTTTGGCATAGATGGGCCCTTCTTTGTGATACATCAGAAATGTGCATTATTCCCATGCACCCTCTCGAGATATCTCTTGTTAGCTAAAGAGAGATATATGCCTGTGTACCTTAAAAGGCTGGGCTGGTTCATCATTTAACAGTTTAGAAGAAGGCAAAGAAAAGAAAATAGCATGTGCTACAGTAGGAATCAGACACTAGCTTCTTCCTTCAGTATTCCAAGTAAACTTCACCTCCCCGGATCTTTGGCCCAGGATGAGAAACTACCCACCCACCCCCAACCTTTTTAATAAACAGAAAAACATTTTTATAATCTTAGGGTCAGGAAAATCTCTTCAAACAATACATAGAGCTCTGAAGGAAAATATCCACAGATTTGATGACATAAAAATGAAACACTTTTTCACGATGAAAGACATCATAAATAGTAAATTTGAAATACATATAATACAACAAGAATTTAGAGTTTTTACGAATCAGAAATTTTTAAATATTTTCTTATTGAAAATTATTGGGGTGACATTGGTTAATAAAATCAAATGAGTTTCAAGTATACAAATCAACTATATGTCATAGATATATTGCACTGTGTGCTCACCACCCAAAGTTAAATTTCCTCCCATCACCAAATATTTGATCCTTTTTACCCCCAACAACCTCCTTCTTCCCCTCTTCCCTCTGGTAACCACTAATCCACTATCTGTGTCCATGAGTCTCTGTCATGTTTGTTAGCTGCTTTCAGGTTTATATCCCACATGTGAGTGAAATCACATGGTTTTCAACTTTTTCTGACTAATTTCACTTAGCATGATTATCTCAAGATCCATCCATGTTGTTGCAAATAGTGGTATTTCATCTCTTCTTGTATCCCATTGTATATATGTACCACATCTTCTTTATCCAATCATCTATTGAAGGACACTTCAGTTGCTTCCATGTCTTGGCCACCATGAATAATGCTGTTATGAACATTGGGGTGCATATATCTTTGCACATAAATGTTTTCAAGTTTTGGGAGTAAATACCCAGAAGAGTGATTGCTGGGTCATATGGTAATTGTATTCTTAGTTTTTTGAAGTACTCCCTTTTGATGGGAGTTGCCAGAGACTCCCAAGGAGCCATTAACGAAACAAAATCAAAGGCAGTCTTTACGAGTATGGATTCAGTTTAGAGAGCTTTCAAATGGCATACAGGAGCACCCAAATAAAATAAGCACATTTAAGGCACAAGCATATTACTCCAGCAAGACTGTAAAGAAATTGGTTCAGAGGCTGCCTTTCAACTAAAGCTTTTCAGCTCAATTTTCAAAACCATTCAGCTCTTTCTAGGACAGTTAAACATTTAAAACTAAGAAGTATGGAGTTTGGTTAAAATATATATATATTATATATATATATATGCACACACGCACACACACACACATATCTTGGCTTTCTGTAAATAAAACCTGTACATTGCCACATCTCTGTGGAGATAGGTGTTGAGTCTAGTTAATCAAGTGCTCACTGATCTAGGCACTCTGCTGTATATCAGTTTGGTATTCAGAGATGATAACATGCATCTCTGGAGGAGATAGAACATGCAAACTAATATGTGTGAAAATATAAGATGTTGAGTGTCATGGTAGAGATATGGGAGTGGGTACAAAGTGCTGAGAGACTGAAGGTGGGGGACAGTCTTGTCAAAAGAGGTAACATGAGCTGGTTCTTGATAAAAGCATATGATGTCTCCAGGCTAAAATGGAAGGAGTGAGATTTCTAGGCATAAATAAAAATTTACTAATGCCATTGAAAATATGGCTGTTATAAGTTTCAGGAAGGAACTGTCTAAAAAAGTAGAGTGATGGGAAATGTTCTGTAAGAGTGGGACAGGACATGAAGAACCTTTCACACCTAGGCGAGAAGGTTGGCATTTATCTTGAGAGCAGCAGGGGTCTATGGAAAGTTTTAATCAGAGGAGCATCATGGTGAAGCTTGTGTTTTAGAAAGATCTACCCTGACAACTGGTTTTGAGCACAAATTGTAGCAGGAAAGAGATAAGGAAAAAAGGCCAGTCCAGATGTGATATCTGTAGTTTAAGGGGAGGGAGGGCCCGAGGTCTACGTCTTTTTTGTTTTGCTCTTTGAGTAGAAATTAATAGACAACTATAAGGCCAGGCAGTCCCAACTTGGAAAGATTGGGCAGTTTAGTGTTCAGAATACAGAGTAGGAATTAAGAGAAGGTGGTGTCATTTCCTGTCCTTGACTCTAATTTGCCGTGTATCCTGTAGTTATAGCTGGTTAGCCCAATCCCATTTATGTGGAGACTTGCTCAGGGAGGAGGCTGTGTGGCATGGCAGATATAGCATAAACTTTGCCAGCACCCGCAGGTTTTAACCTGGGATCTTGTATTTAATAAGTATGTGCCATTGAATAATGCATTTTATTTATACTCCGATTTTCAGTTTTCCCACCTGTAGAATAGGGATGATAACATCTATTTCATGAGGCAGCAGTAAGGATTAGGTTTGTGATATAGCCAAACTGGATTCAGAATAGGCACTCAATCCACCTACGTTGCGTCCTGGAGGGATGGTGACAGGGACTCCTTCGAATTAGGCACATACCTTCCTCTTCCCTTTGAGAATCTCAGGTAGTCCCAAATCAATGTCAGTGGTATGAGGAAACAGATGGCTTTAGAAGGCAGTATGTTTGGTGAATATCTCCTTGGATGTTTGAGAGAGGCTCGAAGGACAATGATATTAAAAGAATTAAGCTGCACTTAAAACAAGCCAAGTCTTTTATGTGATAGTTCCGGTTCCTGTCTGCAGTCCTGTCAGCCTGTGCAGAGTGGGTTATAGGTGCTGTGGTTATAACATACAAGAAAAATAAGCCCCTCTTCTCTCATTTCTGGACCTCACAGTACTCTCTTTGTGATTTGCTAGTTGGGAGGGGGGGGTTGAAATATGTGAAAGCATCAGGAAGTGGCAGAAAAGGCGATGTATGGGAAACAGCAGTGTGCATTGTTGTGGATATTAGTTTTCATTTGAATTTGGGCTCCTGTAAAATCTTCACTTCTGAATAAGCTCCAATGATCATAAAGGGTAATTGTGGAATATCAGTTGGGCTATTGGCTTCAGAAAATATGTCCCAAACTTGTCTGCTCCTAAACCACAGAGAAGAACTCATGAAAAGGAAATAGGGTCTTAGAAGTCTAACCAGTCTTGCTTCCAGGAAAATTATTAAGAATCTGGACAGTATTTGGTAGTTTGCACAAACATGGCTTTTTTTTCTAATTCTTTTTTTTTCTTCTTCCTCCACTTCTCTCTATGTGAAAAAGTAGGTGGTGAGGTGGGGCAGGAAATGGTTTCTTTCAGATCATTCTCCTTCCCTACAGTAAAAGGGGGTTCCCCACGGTTGTGGTTGTCAGATGTTTTTAGGTCCTCAGTTCATTCACCCTAACCATTCCCTTTTGCCAGTGCCACATCTCTGACATAAGAGTAATAGAAATGCTTTGCTTCTGATGGGGTACCAATGAGGTGATATCTAGTCGCAGTTAATAATGATTAATAAGTAAATAGAAAATTTGTGTGGAATTACCATTTTGTAAGTATCCATTCATTATATAAATATTCAGGGCCTTCTATATGTCAGGCACGGTGTCAGTCTCTAGGGATGCAAAGATGAGCCATACATGAATTCTTCTGTCAGAAAGCGTACAGCCTACTAGGAAGTCATATATGATTAGGATGTAATGAACTCTGTGTATGGTGGTTAGTGCTCAGGTCCTTAAAAGGGACAGAGTCAGTGCTGGAGAAGACCAGATCACTGCTAACTTTTGGGGGGTAAGGAAGAAAGATGGTACTGGTCATGAATGGCGTCTACACATGGCAAGATATAGAAGGACATTCCTGATCAAGAAAACAGTATAGTAAGTGCATGGCAGTGGAACACTTTGGCATACTTTGGGGAAAAACAAGTACAATGGAGTTGCATTATATATGTGTTAAAT